GGGCGGTGGGGTGGGGAGACCCCAGCCAGTGATTCGATTGGCCCCTCGTCCACCAGAACAGTTACTGACACCGAAAACATGCAGGTTACATACAAACCTGTGAACCCTTGCACCCCCTAGAATCCCCTCCGTTAAGCTTTGCACCCACTACATCACGCTGACCCCCCTGATCCCCAATACCCAAGTGGTAAAGGGGTGTGAGGCTTCGTGGGGGTGGTCTGGCGGTGTGGGGGGTGGGGAGTGGGTTTTCAGGTGTGTCAACACTGTGAACGGTTTCAAGGGGGGTTGGGGTTTGATTTATTTGCATGCATTCATGATTAAAGTGTGAAAATTAAAAGATACGCAATCACACTGACATCTCATTGCCACAGATAATAATAACACGATAATGTCGGGCACGTGCACGTGACGAAGGTAAAAAAAAAAAAACAAAAAAAAAACACGCACATAAAGCTGTCCCTGCGCCACTGCACTGATAATAGAAAAAATCTTAAAATCTGTGTCGACTGCACCTCTACGTGACCCTGTATAGTCTACATGACACTACAAAGGTACACTACAGCGGTACACTACAACAATGCAGAGCAAAAACAACAAATTAACAAGGAAATGAAATACGCATCAAACCAAGATGTCCGACTTGCAGCAAAAAGAATATTTCTGCCATCACTCTCGTCGGATGGCAGTGTTCTCTCTATCCGCGTCGGGGTGAGCATTACCATTGTCATCGTTGCTCTCGTCTCCACTATCGTTGTCATTGTTCAAGTTGTCCTCGCTCCCGCCGTCACTTTCCTCATCGCCCTCATTGTCATCGTTGCTGGCGTTAGGGTCAGCATTGTAATTCGCAGTGTCGCTATCATCGTCCCCCTCCTCCTCTCCTCCACATCCCGGGGCTCTGTTGGGGTGCTCGGTCGTGATGCCTCAGTGGCAGGGGCCTGCCATTGGCATGAACTACGGCCTGGGGCCACTGAGTTGGTCGTGACATGCTGTAATGATGTCGTAAGGTCCGAGGTGCAACAGGTACCCGGACGCATGGGTAGGCCTTTCGAGGTGTCTCCCTGCTTACCCCCCTCCCTCACCGGCATTCCATCGCCATGGTTGCGTACTCTCGGCACGCGCTCCCTCAAAATCTGCAATGCCTGTATCAAATTTTTATCTAGCCGTTGGTGCCTCATCCCCCTCTACGGGCTTACGCGCAACATCTGGGGCCATGGTGACGTCAATGTTGCAGGGGCTGGCCAGTCCCTCTTAACCAAGATGCAGTGACATCGGTAGGTGATAACAATGGTCGCAATCGTGGCAAGGCTGGCTGATGATGAGTAGACACCGCCGTAACCAGCCTGTAGGAGCTCCACGAGCGATTGTGCGCTCGAACAGTACAGTGTCATAGAGGGCCGCTATCATGTTTGTCGGTGGGTGGCTCGATGTCAGAGTGCTGGTCCCGCTGCGATGATGTGCGGTGACGCTATCATGGGACTACGAGATAACAATCCTTGCCTCGGCCACTGGTGCAGAAGCGGTTGGCGGTGGCGTCGAGCTGGCAGGGCCGCATGATACCGAAGCAATGGTCGGCAATAATCCCGAAGGGGGCTTTAACCTCAAAATGCGCAAGTCTATCTCGATGACGTCACTTTGGAAACAACTCGCCAACTCGATCGGTGTCATAACTCCAAACACCATGGATTCTTGCGGCTGCAGCACATACCTCACTTGAGTACTCTCTGGGGTCGGGGCGAGTGGTGGAAGCGGCGGCGGAGGTACACCTCTCCCGATGTGGTTGGCCATAAATGGGATATCATCCGCTGGATACAACCTCGGATCCTGGCCATGTGCGGGAGGGGGCTGACTTTGCATCTCGGGACGGAACGACTCGACAACAACCA